CCATCCGGATAAATTTCTCGCTCGATGATACCGTATGTGTCACACCCGTCACCGACTTGTCCACACCCCCCCCCCTTCCCACCCCCTCAGCCCCAAGTGTGGGGTATTCTATCGTGGCCCGATCATGCGATGCGATGCGCTGCACTGAGACAAATAAAGTATGGCACTTTCGAGAGAACCAACTGGCTCCGCTGTACCCTATCACATCGAAAGGGGTGCTATGTCAACGCCATAGGTTTTGGCCTAGTAGGTTATGCAAGCGGTACCGTATGGAGCGAAGGAAAGGCGTGCGGGGGGTGGGGGGATGGGGGGATTGGAATCGCTTGATTGACGATAGTTTGGGGAGTTGTGTCCGGGTGTGGATATACGGTACTGGGAGTGGTTAAATATAGGTTCCCGGGGGAGGGGGGGTCCTAGATTACATCCAACCTGGGTACGGCAAGCGCTGGGATTAGTTGGGTATGATACTAGTATGATAGTATGTATTGTAAGATAAATTACAGGGAATCTTTCAATTATCTTCTTACTATTATTACTGTATTTTACCTATAGTGTTGTACTACATATGTAGAGACTCAGTGGGATCTGCATCATCTCCATGTTCATATGCTTCTTTTCATGTCACCATTGCTGTTAACACTATAACATTGGACACATGGTTAAAGGATCAGATATGTGTTAAGTATGATACATATAATAAATGACTGCAAGTTGTGGCCGCACCTTAGCTGCCAAGCTAGAGCAATTCCCTTCCACCTTCATCGATACAAGCAAGTTTTTCTCCCATCCAGTATCCATAAATTTGAACCCTAGATTTGTCAGGATTGTCGGTAAATTGTCATTGGACTATCCAATGTGGCGGATGGACTCCCCTATGCCCATACTGTGCGTGCAATATAGTGAGTGATCCTGAATTAATAATGCAATGTGCTGTATTATTTCGGCCAGCACTGTAACCTCCGGATTCCGGGTCACAAGCTCTGGGGAAATATTAGTGTTTTCCCGACATAGTATAAGACCAACTTGCTAGAGGTGATGAACTGGTATTTGCAACCCCGTTTTTCTGTCAAACCAAACCTATCGTGGGTGGAGCGGAGATTGGTCCTTGCTTATGGGGGAGATAGTGGACTTCAAGAGTTGATATGGTATTTAAACTGTGTGAAGGCGTTGAGTTTTGTAAACCTTTGCCTGAGGGAGGTTGTGCTGATGGTTTTAAGGACTTTGCGACTAGCTGTTGGCTATGTACCGCTTGGTCATGGCCATAGCAGGTATTGTAAGGATACTGGTGGTTCATGAGCCTGTCTCGGGTTAGTCATATGGGCTGAGGTGTTGGGGCTGTTGGGGGTAATGGTTGATAGTGAGAAAGCCTTTCTTGATAGTACGTTATTGTGTACGAGAGGGAGTCAGGAATCATGGGGATGGATCTCCGGGCCATTTGTTATTCCCGGAGTCTACGATATTGCATTCGCAGGTTTGACTTTCAGCAATTATTGGAGAATACGGTAACACAGTCCGTCCAATCGAAATAAATTAAACTTACTCTGATGACAATAATGCCCCCTTCATCGACTTCCGGACGAATCAATGCACGGATAAAGCGAGCAACCGCACCTTTAATTCCTTCTGCTTGCTGCTACTCCAATCACTATAAGTACTTGGATCGGAGATGAATCAAGCCATCTTCTTACCTTAAATGTAGCACTCGCCTTCACTATGGAGACATGCCACGAATCGTTGCAACATCACCGCGGCCTGTTTCCATTTTTTCTGGCCCTCAATGAGAATAAGGACAGCATTGCTAGTGCTATACCTGCTCTACTCAATGCTTTTTAGAGAGTTTTGCCTCTGTTTTTTCGAATTTCATTTCAGCACTGTCAATTATTTTTTCCTAATTGTTTGCCAGTTTGTTGCGATTCTTCATGGATATTGGTCATATCAGTCTGGGTCATGATATCTATTGTAAGTAGTGCCCATCACAAAAGCGAGGTGCCCCTAAACCGGAAAGATCGTGGGCAATTTCTTGAATAAAATATGGTTGTCAGCCCGTGGTCGGATGATAATCAGAGAAAGCAGTATACTTGGGGCCCGTTTACCTAACACTCTGTGTCCAAAATTTATATAGCGAAGGTAGACGGCCACGTCATGGCGAGAATTGCGCTACAACGATGGCTGGGGGGTGTTTTCGACTGTCACATATTCTTGCTGTTGCTGCGGAGGTGAGGCTGCAAGCATCACCAAACACTCATGACAGGACTCAAGGAAAACACCTCCGGATGCCCTGCATGGGTGCAACAGTCAAGCCGGCCTTGGCCACCGGTGCTGTCTCCATCTACTGGATGGTCGCCTCTAGGTATAAGGATCCTTACGGTGCCATGGTATCGTTTAGGTTGAAGGATGTGATTGAGGTCCTGTAATGCGAAACTGAAAGGAAAGGATTTGAAGGCAGGGAAAGTAGAGGTGCTAGAAGAAGTGCCTTGGAAGCGAAGGCCAGCATCAAGAAATACACGGCGGACAACACGTGTTGGATAGCAGGAGGTGAGGGACAGAAACCACTGGAAGTTTGAGCGTGCTATATCAAACTAAGCGGACTCCAAGTGATTGAGCGTTCCCTATGGGTTGGCCGAAGGGTACAAAAAAAGAAGCTGGTACAAGCTCCCAAATGATTCAAACCTTTTATATATGAAATCTTAGGACTGGTGGGGGTGAATGGAGGTTTTGGTAAGTAAAATTGTTTGATTGGAGTTGCGGAAGGGCCGAAAACTACTCGTACTCGTGTGCGCGAGTTGCTACCAGACACCCGGACAGATCAGCGATCGCCAGACCAATAACGAGTGCACCCCGGTCAACACAATGAATAATTATTTAGGTTTATCATACTCTGTCTGTTAGCCAGCTTCAATTGCTCTATCCGCATCCTCTCCCTCGTTGCCACACGCCATGACACTGCACCGGTTACGGGTGACACGGCTTTCTCATCCAGTTCCCCCGAGTAAGCCTCCTATTCTCGCCGTATCGTTAACTCTGACAGCGTTCTCATCCTCACGATTACAATTCCGCTACCTATGACCCCTATCATCGACTTCCGCTCACCTTTTGCATATTTACTGCTTGCCGAAACCACAAGTCTGTTCCCAGCCTTTACCCGGGCACAAACGACCGAGCCACACCTTGCTTGCGAAAATTGAGGCTCACCTCTCATAACCACTTAACATCACCAGTGACCCCATTTTCCGAGGGCCCTTGATTTATGAGTAATAGCTATCAACACAATTCTCCTGCCATTGGGGCTGGCAGAGCGGAGCAATTGGAGTGGTGCGGCTATACCTCGGGGACGGACTCCGATTTTGGCGACGGTATTTTTTAATATCACTCCACCACTGCCGCACCAGCGCACGAAACCCCTCCGGCCACACCACCGCATCCAACACTAGGATTGCTATTGTCCCCTACGATCATGGTATGCCAGAGCAACCAAATTAAAAGAGTTATTCTACACCTTTGGGGTTTCTTGGCAATACTGATTTCTGACTTGGTGAATGTTCCTCGCGCAGAATTCCTGAGAGATCGTGTAGGTGCCATCATGAGTCTCATCCGAGGGTTGGAGGCGGCGCCATCATGATGGTATTCAGCGCCGCACGCTCCTTCCCCGTTTACCCACAAGCAACCCCGATCAGTGATCTGGACCTTACAAGAGGAGATCTCCGGGATGAGGGCTGCGCCTGCAATACAGACATTCCCCCGCAAGCACTACCAGGAGGAGTTGGAGGAGTGCATGGGTTGGCCAGTCCTAGCTAGAGTAGTTACCGGTAGAGGGGCAGAGAGACTAGCGAGGGACATGCCCGCAGCGGGCACCTGGCTTCACTGTTAGGTTGGGAAGTTCCCGGTGGGTGTGGGTGGGATCAAGTAAGGATGGGCTCCCTGGACGGGGGGGTAGCGGGGCTCTGCTCCATTCTTTTATTGTTTTTTTTATATTAAATTTTTATTTCATGTATTCAACTCGTGTAGAGGTATTGTGGGATAGTCCAAATGTATAAATTTCACCTATGATATTCTGGATTAGCGCAAGTGGCCTTTTGGGAACTCCGCAAGCATAACTCTCTACTAAGGGCAACATTCGGAGGACTTTTAGCTTGGACACCCATCTACCTACATCCACTCGACAGAAGCGCTCATGACCTGCAAATGCTATATTATTATCATATACGATCCTAGAACCCATATGATTGGAAGGGGCCAAGCATGTCTTTTTTTTTTTTTTCATTAACGTGGCCAAGGAGCATTAGCTAGCCTAAGAATTATGTCTCACTGCCCTGCGACCTCAAGCCCAAAGAGTAAGCTTCTAATTTACGCAAACTGGCCAGTTAGTATCATACTCAATCTCTGTCAAAGCAACCATCCAAATCCCCCGCCCAACATCCTGCACTGCCACGATTTCTATGGGCTTCGAATAAAAGACCATCATATCCACTCCGATTTCGGTGCAGCAGTACGGTAAATGCATTGGAAGACAGCAATCTATCACCCCCCGGCTGCCACTCCTGCGTGACAGACGACAGTCACCACGACAGTCAATACGACCATGTTCCAAGATGTGTCTAACAATCTGGATGGCGGGTGCTCCGAACTTCCCCCCTCCCCCCCCCACTACTTTCGTCCCAAACTTTCGGAACCACCCACTCGCATCCTCCAGTAGATCAACGATCCCCTTGTGTCCGCCATTACCGGTTGGTCGGTTAGAGATGACCCGTCATCACATCAGATAACTTTACAGAACGGAGAACATATACTGCCGGTATCATACCTGGGAATTCCCGCCCCACCACAGTGTGTGAGAATTGACATGCTATATCCCGCCTCACATCCTTTTCTTAATATACCGTATCCATCATAGCATCGTAAATCCACCCCCCGGGCCAAAAAAATAATAGAGGAACACACGTCATGCATGATCACTCGGAGGCGGCTCGAACGAGCATACCTGTGATTGCCACAACCGTGTGCATCCATCCATACTGTATCTCGCCCTTAAGGAATAACCTTCCACACCCGGTCCAAGATGATGGAGGGTTTACTACGGGCACACTCGAATTCAATTAGATGCGAAAATATCGCCGTGTCACTGGTGGGTGGGTGGGTGGGTGTGGCGGATTTGCTGGGCTTTGGCGGAATGTCGGCCAGGTAAATTACTATACCTGCACTTGTACACGGTATGATATGTTTTACTGTTACCAACTGCGGTGATTGCTTTCTCCAATCGAGGTGTATGCATCTGTGTGGTTGTGAGGCTGTATATCGGATCGGTGGCGCTTTAGTTTCCGGGACACAAAATAGGCTTATCGAGCCCAAAATCACCCCCCCACCTCGGGCGAAATACGAGACCGGCTTCTGTTGTATCCCACATAGCACATCTAAGTTCATCCTGTTCCCATTGTACTGTACTACTTTCACCACTTGCAATATTCACGGCTAGCCTCTCCCGGTGGATGTGTCTGGGAGTGGTGTGGGTGATGACCATGTACCAATTCTCGATTCTCATGGGGAAGGGACTATGGACGGGCAGTGGTGAAAAATCTTCCATGTTGGTGGTGCGGCCGTGCATAAGGCTGGTGATCATTTCGATGCCCTTCAAGAAACTGGCTAAAGGTATTGGATCCCGAGGCTGGCACCATATTAGGAGGGTAATTAATCCCGGCGGAATTGGGCGCAATACGAATAAACCATGCAATGGGCTATTGCCAACATCGGACCTAAAATGCCCACCATACTTTAAGAGGGGAGGAAAGGAAGTAGATCAAGGAAAATGAACACGTGGATATGTGGATATGTCAATAAGGCGGGCGTGTGGGTGAGCAGAAAATCCTGTTATGCCTTGGGATACATGAAACTGTAAAATATTCACGACTGCCATGCTAAGAAAGGGTAAAAGCTTTTGAGACAAAGACATCTAATTTTCTTCGGCTAAGGTATTTGCGCCAATGCCTTCGTTACTCCCAGCTTCCCTACCACGTGCAACTGCTGCGTCGGTTTTTTCTGATCGGATGCACCCCTCACTATCCACAGTTTGTGGTGTCCCATAGGGCCCGAGAGCTTAGCGGGACATCATCAGTTCTGGTATTGAGAGAGCGGATCTCCTAGACAAGTTCCTGTAACATCTGTAATCAGGCTAATGACAATGCTGGGGATATACCCGCATCCCTCCCGAGAAGCCCGGGGATATTCGATAATAGCAGTAAAACGAGGGTCATCGAGGATATTTGGTGCGGATAGGCTGGTAGATTGTGTGTGGATTGGGAAGCCTACGGATCGTGGGGACGCATCTACCTAGCATAGCTGTATTCGACGTGAAGGAAGAACAGGAATGGGGAGGGAAAGGTTGGTGAGCTAGGGGCCGAGCAGAGGAGTTGCGGTGCTGTGTAGGAGGTGTGGAAATGGGGATTGGACCGGTGGGTGAGGGGCGGGGTTGATGAGGAGCAGGAGGGATGATGGGTCGATGGGTGAACGGCGAAGTTAGTGAGTGTGAGCTGTGTGAGGCTCCCATGGGCCAAGTGTCGGTCGGTAATACTGGGCCGGATACGGAAGGTGGATGACTAACCGTGTTGGCTTGGCGTTTTTCGGGCAAATACCGGTAGTGGGGAAAACTATCATGGATACACAACATACGAGTATGAGGGGGGCCAACCAGCAGACCAAAAGTCACCGTTTGCCAAGACATTTCTGATGCGTTGCAACATGAGCCCCTGTTCGTTGTCCCCCCCCCCCCGTACAAGTATGTTATCTATCCACCTATCTATCTACCGGTCCCAGATCCCCAGGTTTCTGCCGCCTTGATTGGCATACGGTATAGTGCCCCGCAAGGTTCGATCTAGTGATTTTTGGCGAAATATTTCTGATGGGTCGGTTGGATGATAAGGGCAAAAAAAACAATAGACTTACGATATGGCATTGTATAAGACGTAAGGCTTAACTTGCTTGCTAGAGGGAAGGGAAAGGGGAGTGGGAGTTATGTACAATTTTTTTCTTCCGTCCTCTTCCTTTAGACTTTCCCCCTTTTTCGGAATGGAGGTGGTTGCTATACAAAGGCGGTGGTGAAGACTACAGGGGTAAGGAAATATCATAAAAAAGAAAAGATGAAGGAAATCAAGAGAGAAACGTGCGTATGGGGGCCATTGGTTAAAATGGGGGCTTTCGACACCCTGCCGGTACCTCCCCCCCCACTCTAACCTGCCTGTACAGTAGCGCTTTCGCCGCCGCGCTTTTGAGTGGAGGGTGAGCGAAGAGGGTAGGGAATGTGAAGGGATAGTGAAGAGGAACGCCAATAATAACAAAGCAAAGAACAAAAAAAATCTATGACAACATAGCGTCAATCGTTTCGTTGCTTCGTGACCTGAATAGTCGTGATCTCGTTGTGGTAGTGACAAACAAGTAACGGGAAATAAGAAAAACCCCAATCTTTGAAGATAAAATAGGGAAAGGCAGGGTGAAAAATTTAGCAAGAGAAAGCCGGTCCCAAAGCAAGAAGAGGAAAGGAAAAAATGAAATGGATACAAGCACCTGACTTGAAGGAATGGGACTGAAGGAGTAATTGAAGCAAACGCCCGCCCTTATGAATGCACTGGAATGAAAATGTGACGAAAAGAAACTACCCTCCTGCTACCATTCGGATATATGGGTGGTAGAAAAAGTATTATACCGGTAATGGCAGAGGGAGGAGGGGGGGTGAAAAAGCAGAACTCCAAAGCGCCTTCTTATATGCAACAACTCTTTATCCCTTGCGCGAGCTGCTCTGTGCTGTTGTCGTCCACGGTAACTAGTTTGGCTGGTCTGGTGCGCTCGTTCTCCTTGCTGTTCTTGGGGACCTCCGCTACGAATCCGCTAACAAGACCCCCAACCTTATACAAGATGGATGACTGGTTTTTTGTGGACGGGACATCAATGGCAGGGTTTTTGGTGAAGAAATCTGCCGGCTTGAGGTGAATCTGATGTGTCTCGATTGGCCTAAAACGGTTAGATTAAAACACGTCAGCGAAAAGTTAAGCGAAGAACAGGGGGTCTTAGAGCCGCTCACATGACTGGGAAATCTGTTTCACAAAGTTAGCCGAGTGATCAAATATGTTGAGGAAGGTCATTAAATTTTGAACAAACCTTCCACTCTAGGGTTATGGGTTAAGCCAAAGGAGTGCCAGATAACAAAGTCCTCATTTTCAATATTTTCATTTCTCTCAATCATATCCTTGACGCCGCCAGACTGTGAATTGATTGTTTGTCAGATAATATATCTAGAGGTAGGGTTTGATAACAAACAAACCTCAACCGAACTTTGATTGGTGAACCTTCCCGCTGCCCAGAACTCCCCGTCACGATGCCTAGTGACCCATAAATGATGGCTTGCATACGCCATGCGCTTAGCCATGATGCTATCAGGATGGGCTAGAGTGAGTTGAGAGGGCGAAGGAACGAGCTTATATCCCACGGGTCTACCGCTTATTGGGTTGCGGACATTCTGGTTGACAATCTTGAAGAGCCTGGCGTTATGCGGCGCCGCATCTGCCCAACACGTCCTCTTAAATATTGTTTGTCTGACTTCATACGCATTCCCCCAAGGATTAAGCTCCGGGGTGAAAGGAATCGGGTGCGACTCTTCCTGAATTATAGTGTTCTTTGGACCCTCAATAGCGGGGTCGATGCGCACACAGAAGATATGCTGGTGGTTCTGCGCGAGAGCGCCCGGGCTGACAACATTACCCCATGGGCTGGTAGTACCTGGGTCGATTGGTACAGTGCTGACAACGCCGGTAGCTCTTGTCTCAATAGTAATACCGCCAGCTTGGTCGAAATGATAGGCGAAGATGTATTCGTAGTTGGCGAGAGTGATGATGAACTGCACAATTAGTTTCCGGTTGCGAGTGACAACAGCACGGTTTGTGCGATAGTTGGTATGTTTCCACAGGATACCGTCGTCTACTTCGTGCATGCAGACAACATTCTTCGAGACGATTCCCTTACCGGAGGTGTCGTTCATGAAACCATCAAAGTACTGTTGCCAAAAAGCATTAAAAAACCTACCCCTCAATATATAGTAAAATGGAGTTACATCACTGACCTTGATGAGGCCGAGGCAGTCGCAGCCGAGTTCGAGGTTATTTGCCGCTCGCCCAGCCCCGCCGTCTCCAAAATCAAAGGCCTGTTTTCTGTGGAATGGTGCTCTGGGATCTCCATACGGTACGGACATCTCGCTGAAGCTCATGCGATAGAAAACACTCCTATTGTCATACCAAACATCATGTATTGTTGCGCCCTCGCGGGAATTGAATCCGATCCTGAACCTCCACTTTTGCCATTCGACCAGAGACCCGGTGGCTGTGAATGATGGCCCATAGGGCTGTATAACGTTAAGGGGTCTGACATCCTGCCTCAGCCCTCCTTCGACTAACTCCGGGATGTACTCCACGGCTCTGCAGTGATCCAAAGCATTTTTAGGACCCGTGCCATATTTGAGCCCATCGTCCCTGCCACCAGTAGCTAGTTTGTCGACTCGAACAATTTCCTTCTTGCAGATGTCCATCACCGGAATTAAGGGTATTGGAAATGCGTAGTGATTTGAATCCGGGTTGTTTGTCTTGGGGTCACGGGCGTAGACCAGTCCCTGCATGTAACGAGGGCTTGTTTCTTTTGGGTTTTCCCAACCGCCGTACATCCATGGATCGATAACGATAAAGACGTTCGCAGGTAGGTTCAGCTCAGCCAAAGCTTCCTTGAAGAGGGGAGAGGCCATTGCCACCTCAGGGAAATTGGCAATCTCATCACTGTATTTATTTTAGACACGAAAAGGGCATGAGGGAGAGGGGCAAGCCATACGCATTGAGAGGCGAGTGATACTTCTTTTCGATAAGGTCAAAGCTCACTTCCTCCCCTAATGTCACATCCACCACCGAATCACATAACTCCAGTGAGCGATCCTCTCCAATGGCATCAAACAATACCCTCGCAAGCCTCGGGGGCCTTCTAGGCCTACCCGTGACCTCTCTTTTGTGCTCAGCTTGTAGGAACGGCAGTAGTAAAACTTTTGCCGGTTCTTCCAAGGTTATCGTCCTAAAGACAATGGATGATGAGGGGTGGGCCCGCAGGATAGCATCGCGAGTTCTATTGATCTCATCGACGGACAATTGGTCCAAAGGATGCGGGGGGGGTGTTGTGAGAAGGATGTTAAGCTTTTCTGAGACCGTCTGTGTAACGGATCCTCTGGGTTCAGGTCGCATTGCTGTAGATTCCGGCGATACGGTTGCAAGCGACTGTAAATACCTTGGGGTGGGATAAATAGCTTGCGGAAAGGAAAAAGGGACCAGCTTCAAGGCCAGCAAGAGCTGCGAATTTTTTATCTATTTCCACAGAGACTGAGGGTTGGACTGAGCTCGCTCCAAGAATTGGGTTGTGTTAAAGTAGGGTGTGGTAAGGATCGGTAGGGGGGTGGTTGTTGAAAGGGATCTCTTTTTTTTTTGGGCAGGGTACCGTAGACTTTTGTGGGAATGGGGGTGGGAGAACGTGAATAGAAATCCCCCGACCAGCATGTAGCGAGAGAGGTGCGGAGAGGGAATCAGAACGCTCGTCAGTCCAAACGGGCACCGCAAACGGGCAGGTCCACGCTGCAAAACGCTGCTAGAGATCCTAGGGCGGGCTAGCAACTCGTTGGGTAGCCACAGCCGAAGCCGTGAGAGTGTATGAAAAGAAAAGAGCGAGGAGGGAAAACACCGTAAGAGTGCTCCAAGTAACAGGAGACTGGGAATTAGCCCTGCGCCGGATGCTCAACCAGAGTTCTTCTACTCCAGTACTTCTTTGTATCCGCTCGACTCGCTGGTTCACTCGCCTATAGAGTGAACCTTTCCTTGCCCGCCCGCTTTCCCACTAACAACACCACGAATTGCAGCCTGCCATCCTGTCCAACCAATTCGCTCCCTCCGTCTAACCCATCCACTCTAATCCTATTCATCTATCCTCCCACTCCCAACTCCCAACTCTCCACTCCCACACCCACCCATCCTCCATTTACCATCACCGTCATCATCACCATCCTATGTGCGTTGTGCCCAGCGAACCAATTCTATCCCCTCCTCTCACTCCTCCCTCTCCTCTCCCCCCCTCTTCCTACTCTTCCTACTCTTCCTGTTCTTCTTTAGCTGCACTGTATATACGGTACGTTACATGCGTCTCCCAAACTCCGAAATCGCTCATTGCTGGACCCTTTACTTTCCAGTAACCAGAATACCACCGATACCCAGCTTTTTGTGTACAGGGCGCTTCCCATGTTGCTCCCTAAACATCCTCCCCGAAGGCAGCATCTCTTTAGCCTTCCTTTCCCCATTCAGTCGGCACCCTCATGCGGAGCTGTGAAGCGTGGCCTGTGCCACCGACCCTGAAAAAGATGCAATGTATGTATGATACTGGGAACTGTGTGTATAGAAAAATTAATTCCCCAAAGCCATTATTCCACGTGAGGCGAACATCTGGGGCCAGTCAATCACAGAAATGATCCCCACGTCCAATTGGATCAATTCCGATCTGTATTCAGCGAAACTTGCCTAACGCCCACCACCCCGGAGCTCTCCAATGGTTTTCGATATCTGGGCCGGGAAAAAACCTGGGGGAGGGGGCAAAGCAAGTCGGGAAAAATGAAAAAAAAAAAGACGCCTCGGAAGAAAAAAGTGGGAAGGATGGCGAAAAAAAAAAAAGAGAACGAAGGCCCCCAGGGGATCATCGGACACCAAGCCAATAAACCGAGCTGCCCTATAAGTGAAGCTCCCTCCGATGCAGATAAAGCTAGCAACGTCTAAACTCTTTCCGAGGAGTGAGTGAATTGCTTAACCGGGTCGCCACGCAAATGATCGAGACTCCACAAGAAAACAAAATATAGTAACGAGCATGGAGTAGGAATGCAACGCTGCAACTAGAATCGGAAGCTGTATTTGGATATGGACGAACGGCACGCAATCAGTAAACTCGGTATGGGATGTGGATATCGCATATCGCCGGCAGAACGGCCGCTGCAACTGGGATATATCTCAACCAAAAGATTGACAAAGACCGTGGACATCTCCTCATCCCGCGCGTACGAGCAAGAGAGTAAGATAGAAAAAAAAAGGAAAAAAGAAAAGAAAACAAGAATCGCAAAAACAAAAAAGAGCAAGTACATCTTCTTACTCACAACATGCTTGCCGTGCACTGGTAGAGGGGGGGATTTGGATGTAGCCCCGGGATGTACCCTTATCACGAACACCGTTCCCCCACCCCTCTCCACTTTCCCTCCCGGAGCGGGCAGCGGCGGTGGCAGAAAACACAAGGGTATCGATGCCAAATAATGCTACAGAAGCAACCCGCCGCAATTGAAAAAGCCCCACTGGACAGGGATTAATTGAGGCAGGAGATCTGTAGATGATAATCTGCAAGGCGAGAGTCTCATGCGATGTGCACCACCGGAATCTTAGCAGCGACGTAAAAGGGTTCGAATGAAGTTCAGCCCGCTTGGCGCTCACGGTTGTACATACCGCGATGTAAAAAAGCCCGGGCAAGATGTTCCACCAGAAAGAGATGCGTTTGCATTTGCAGCTTCAGGGTCACAATGGGAATCACTGCAACCATTTCGGGGAGAGTTCCGGTGAGAATCCAGGAAGCTCATCGATCCTGGGTTAAATCCTCCAGGCGCTTCATGTATTAGTTAGCCTAGGGTGGAGAGAAAGGGGGTCTGAGTTGCGGAGCTAAATGCTGAAGTTAGCAATAGCGATCCTCTAGGCGAGGGAGTGCTTATGTAACAAGGTGTGGACTGTGCATTTTTGGAGTTGTCATTCGGGGAATGCGGCCTTCAAAAAATTTGCCATCTTTCCCACTCGGGTATGATACGGATACGGAAATGGGAAACATTGACGATCGTTCCGAGAGGAAGAGGGAGCAAAGAATTGAATTCAACGAGATACCGGTTTGGTCAGAGTGGGTTGATTCACCAGTGCTAGCTTCTACAAACGCCGAACCGTGAGGTGATGGTATCGGAGTGATGTTGCTGTACCGGCAGTCTTCCACCCGGACCACTCGCACTTGTACAAACTATCGACGCAAATTTAGTATGTGCCAGCACGGTATAATACCGGCAACCATTGTACGAGTATGATATATCGCAACCAGTTACGTCGGGCCCGCGGGCTTTTGGACCCATCTGCTCTAGGGCTCATGTCAGAAGTACGGTAACCTGGATCTAACAGATAGCCTCATACTGTAATCAGGGGAGCCTTCTCACCTATTATTCTTAGCCAGGGAATGATGGGAGGGAAAAGCCTTGGGGACAGCGGTAATAGGCCCTCGCCATTTGGACTCATGCATTTTGTTCACGTGAATAGTTGCCATAATGGGAAGGTACAGGCGGATTCATGTCCACGGATGGTATCAAATCAAAAATTTTTCCAGGCCCGGTTTACAGCGCTGTAACTGTACGGTAGGATACTGTACCGGTGCCACACATACCGACGGGCTCGCTAATTTCTCTCGTGTCCATCCTCGGGCTCGAGGACGGACGCAAGCTGCCGTTTTCCCTGGCCTTCGAAGTTTGCATGGATCAGCGCACCACGAGGCACTCAAGAGCACCGACGGTTGAGGACATGCTAATTGTCCAATTGTAAGCCCATAGCACTCACCCGCACACCCACACGGATAATCTGCACTGTACGGTATGGTAGGGAGAGGGAGGAAAGGGGAAGGGCGGTCGAGCCAGTGTTGCCCGTGCATTCGGGGACGTTTGCACTGTGAACTTGCCCCCCGGTGCCGGCTTCCCTTCTCCTTTCCCCCAATTGCGAGCAAACGGCCGTCCGCCTCCCGGTGCGGATCTCCAATTGCGCAATGCCCCTTCTCGTGGCTGCCGCTACGATCTACCCTGGCGATCCCTTTTTACCGTGCTCGACCCAACCTTACGAAGAGATGATCAAACAGGAAACTCAGGGTCCTGTTTCTAAAAAATGTTTCACTTGCCAAGAAATCACGGCTATTATGATACGGGACTCGTACGATCTCCTCACTTTGCCTTGCTCATTTTGCCCCTCTTTGCTTTTCCTTTTTTTTTATATTCTTTATATTTTCTGTTCCTTTCTTTTTCCTGCATGTGGCCAACAAAGGATTGTCATGACAAAAGCCGGCTGTGTCTCTGGGGGATAGCGCCTCTTCAGGAGTTGAGGACGGTTCTCTATACCTCAGTGATTTCACATGGAAATACAATGTCTATTGGACCCCGCTCGTCTGAATACGAAGAACGAATGGGCAGACTGCCTGGGCAACATGTTTCCCGGTTTGGGAAGTATCTCGCGCCAGAGCTCCCACCTGACTATTTCCTTGTAGGAACTCATCTACGGTACTTAACCTCTACCATACAGTACAGTATGCACAATCTCTTTGAAAATTTTTGCAGTGGTGCCTTGTCGTATCATACGGGGCTATCCGACAGGTAATCAATAAGGCAATACCGGTAGCTGCTTCCCTTAACTCCACGGTGCTACATCCACTGAATCATGCAGTACGAAGTACCGGTACTCGAGTACTTGGATACCGGATCTCGACTCGAGTAGAGAGTCTCGAGAACAGAATCCACATCTGATTGGTGGTAAGGCTGCAGATGGGCATGGTCACATTGCATGGTTACAGGGTAGGAAGCCATTAGCAGGAGCAGTCAGGGATATATTTACAATTTGGCTGGTTAACCTCAAACAACATCTCCGTAACTCCTTGCCACACCTTGGCACGAGCACACGGGCAGGGCCGATTACCGGTAACCGGAGCCGGCAGGGGTATATTTGGCTGGTTAACGTCCAGAAACTGTTCCTTAAGTTCCTGCCGGACACCGTACGGGTCAGTACAAGCCTACTGTAGCGCTTGGCAACGCTCAAATAACAGACACTGATCCGAGACACCACTTGAGAGCTCTCCAGGTCTTGGAAGGCGGCCAGACGCGGGCCGCCTCATGCTGCCCGCCTTCATTTTTGTTGGATCCTTGGAGGCTGGGACGACTCAACACGGTTCTTTTGCCAGCTCAGCATCAAAAAGCAAAGAAAGCCCCCACCGGCGAAAAAAATAAATAAAAAAGGGTACGGTACATGATGGGCTTCCCCAATATACCTACTCTAGAATCGAGTCACAAAACCACGTACAGCACTGGACAGTGCAGCAGTAGACCGGTACACAAAAATTTCCCGGGCGCCGGATGGGGTATACGAGCCGCCGACTGCGGCCCAGCGCAAAGGCGTTGAGAGAGGCTGACATGACCACAATTACAAGTAGTGAAGTACATTACCGCACGGTACCTCCTTCCCCCGAAGATGGTGGTGGCGATGGTGATGATGATGCGGGCGAGACCGAAATTCGGAGCCAAATGATCCAGGCCAACGGTTTCCGCCCCAAGTTCCCCTTTTGTGACCGAAACAATTGTTGGCGAGGAAGATATGGTGCAATGTGGTGTCGTACTCGCAAAAAATTAGGAAACGCCGCCATCATTCGGTCGGAAATCAAACCCCACGCCTGGGAACCTTTAGCCCTACTTTACTTTATAAAAGGTCATGAATCTGGAAACCCCGAGGATCCCGGAAAACTGCTGTGCGGCAATATCCGGAAATGTTGCAGACAGAGTTCATGCTATCCTTTTCCTCTCGATGATTTCTTTGCTACTATCCCTTTCCCTTTGGGACTCCAGGGTATCGGCAAGAGACTGTTGGCGTCGGAATTGGTCATCTCCCTACTTGTATGCAAGATCTCGAATGACCTGTGACAACCCACCACCGGGCCGTCGCTAACTCGAAGAGGAAAAGGAAATTGCTGTACAGCTGAATGCACACGGGCCCGGGCTCTGCGGGGCTTGATAAGGATTGGATCGTAATGTTCAATCACTGCGGCCAATCAAGTTCGGAGTATTGGCGGTGGGATACATTGGAGTTCTTCACCTGACGTCCGGTGGGCATATGGACACAAGTACCGTGGAAGCACTGGAGGCGATTATCTGGCAGTGGGATAAGATAATCCTCCTATTAATTAATTTTAAGGCTACCTCTCGCTAGGGCTTGCAAGTCCGACTGAGTGGTATTGGAAAAGGATTGTCAGAAAAAGTACTAACCTCCACAAGTGTGGGGGTGTTTTCAGAGCAGCGGGGTTTTTTAAGGGTAGAGAATCTCCCGATCCGCAAGATTACTGAGCAACGAAATTTCAGTGTTATAAGGACCAACTCTCAAAATGTCTGATATGCCGATTGAGGACGAACACAAGAATATTCGATTAACGCAAATGTGACTAGATCGATAATCACAATGTTACATAGCGATATCGCCGAATTACGCTGTGTGGGTACCGGAAGGAAGTGGGCGAGATAATAAAAGAGGGGAAAAAGCCCCTCATTTAACTTTCTGCTCTATCCTCGAATTCTTAAAACCTTGCCTGTCCGGTCTTTTTTATTCTTTTTTCTTCAAACAAACCAAGAAGGAGAGGGATAAACCATTTTCATTATAAGATAAGGCTATGGATTGCAGATTGCACAATACGCGAATATCAATGTTGTGATTATGCAATGGTTTGGGGAGGGGGTTGGTATTGACATGTTGGACTGATGAACAAGCAAAATCCGATCCCAATAGTGAGTGTCGAGAGACAGGGCAGCTGATAGGGAACTACCGGATATAGAACAAATAAGCTTTCGCAGAACCTTCACAACCTCAGTATATCGGGCGGGGTTTGATCTCCTCGGCCCACAATGGACTTGGGAAGTGGTGGGGGTAACAATGAGCCTGCTGGTATACACGAGTGATATCCTGTGACGACTGGATTAAGTTAGTGGTGATGGCGAAATGGCGAGCGGTTGCTTAGGAGAGCTGGGCAACTTCACGTTGATGAGTCATGATGCGGTATCATGAGTCACACAATATTGAAACAAGAGCTTGATGCACCACTGGATTGATCTCCTTTGTCCTACACTACGGATAGATGAAAGGCTAAACCCTAGGGCGATCAGAAGGCAACTCGCCGGCTGCACCAAGGCAAACCAGGAAGCGGGAAGGTGAAGAAGAGGGAGAACGAGGGCGGGTAATCAAGCGGGAGAGTTAAAAAGTTAGGTCAAAATCACTGATCGTGGGGCCCTCGTCTATCAAGCACTCTTTCGTTTGCCATAGCGAGAAATCTCGGAAACCCCATACATCTACATGCGGAGGCAGGGACCCTGGTGTAAGAAAATTCGCTCAAATCTGCCGACCCTACATGACTCTTGGGGGGCCAGGTCAAAAAAATCAGCAAGAAGCCCTATTTGGCGCTCCCCCACAAGGCGACGGATCCCGAATTTCCCACCCACTTGATCATTGACACGAAGGGAAGGGGGAGGGGGAGGGGGAGGGGGAGGGAATAGGTGATGGATCCGTGCAGGTATTAGTAGAATATTTCCTCGGAAATTTTGAGTTTCAGCTGCGAGCTTTGCGAATGGGAATTCGTGGATTGGATTGGGGGTGCAAGTTTCTACTCGAGCTAGGTGCACGAATGCTTTTGCGCTGGCTCTTTGGCTCGTCGGCTCGCTGGGTGGGCTGGTCTGGGCTGAGAGATGTGGGGGTTTCCGCTGGCCCAAGCGAGAATCACGGATCCGAACCACAAATGCTGGGTGACTGAGGATGATAGGCTGAGGCCAAAAGTCCTCTCTGCGACGTCACGAACTGAGAGAAGCACATATGCGGTGAATTGCCGATCATGCCGGTAGGCTGTAGCATACAGTCCTTGTTTTCTTTTCCATCTGGGCGCAGGGAATCAAGTATCTCCGCACCAGTGGGCAACTAGAATGGCAAACCTCATTTGGTCATCAGGTTGTACAGCAGCAAGAAAACTGTCGATTGTCGATAAGCTGAAGGGCTCTGCTTCTGCTGTGCATAATCGAAGCACCAAACTACCCATACCAAGAAAAATGTAGGGCTCTCAATGCCTTTGTGAAGCGTTGTACTCGAGTATGCATCTGGGGTTCCGCATGGTTCGAGTGGACATGCTGGTATGTGGGGAAGCAGGTTTTATGGGGCCTCCACTGGGCTGGGCGGGCCCCTTACATGGCGAGGCGAGAAGGGAGAACGAGGGGGGGTGGGAAGGGGGGCGAGAGGGGAGGGAGGGAGGGGGAAAAGGTAGTTCTGGATAGCTGTCTGCACAACGGAAGCCTCCCCCCGCGCGCCCTGGGCTGATCCACTGCGGTATCTGACAGCACTTCTAGTATAGGAGAGTACTGGTCGAACCGCGAGGTCCCAATCAGGAATATCGACGAGAACCTGTTCCGGACCAACCTGGAGGTGCTGGATTCCCGAATAAAAAGTGCAGAGCACCTCGACCGTAGAGCTTGGATCGGGTGTGATTACATGTTCCGATATTCGCAAAATGAGCAAAGGTACTTGCAGCTCCTATGGTGTGACCTTTTGGGTGGAAACAGTGAATTTACTAGCCGATTATCAATCAATTCACTTGAGAATGTATCACATTATGGTAAATTATAGCAATATCGGGAGCACAGACAATGTCTACTCTCGACTGGGATAACTCGAACAGGAAATAAAATTGAATTATAAGAAACGGGACGTCATAGTGTTTATTCCCGGATAAAAATGGGGGAGGAGGGACCTTCCCATCACCGGGTTCACATTCATCTGTTTGATCGGACCTAAAGTCTGTTAAGCCATCGCTGCACCGAAAATACATCAGCCTTCTTGAATTGGCGTTCTTCAACCTAATTGGTGAATCCCCCCCTCTTATGGCTTCCACTTCGAGATTTTCCCAACCCCAAGCCCCCAAATAACAAGCCAATATTCAAGCCCCCTCCCCCCCCCGGCTCCATCCCCTCCTAGCATTGCACCAAGCACCGAAGAGGCACGTAACTGTGCAAGTAGCGGTACAATAACTACATAGCAATGCACCACGCATGGTATCGTAGCATCAGAACACACAAGCCGCAAATAGCCCCATGCCTTATTTTTTCTTTCCCGTTCTTGCTCTCATATTTTTCCTGCCCCTCATCCCATCCCGGAAAACCTTAAAAAGAAAGGAAGCTCGGAAAAAATAAAAATAAAAATGACGAAACAAAAACAGGGAGGGAGCGGAACTCTCCATTCGTGCCTCCATCCATCCATCAACCCAAGCCTCCTTCGCGCCGTTCCCGTTACCGTAATCTGCGAACCCCGGAGAAACCAAACCGGGGATTCGCAGTGAGGAGAAGAGGGAGAAGAAGGAGCGGGAAAGAAAAATAAAATAAAATAGGGTTATAGGAAAAAAAGAATAAGAATAAAAAAAGGAACAAAATCCAGATAGCAGGATCATTTCTCGGTAGTCTACTCTAGTCTACAGTACAGGAGGAATTCTCTCCCCGCCCACCACACCAGGTCCCACCCCACCCCCTTTCCCCGCCCGTTCTTCCCCACACAAGTAGTACTCGAGTACTGTACAACGGACTAGCTCGTCCACAACGTGTGGATTTGGGGCCCGTAACGGTAAAGTAGAATTTCTTTTTTCATTCATGTTTTTTTCTTTTCTTTTTCATTCAGATTTTTTCGTTACCGGTATTTTGTACCGTAGCCGGTTGGAACAGGGGAGGATATACGGTAATATGATACGGTAGCTTGACGCTCGACTTAACCTAACCCACGATAGGGTAGCGCGCTCCAGCGAAAGGCCAACTCGCCTGACCGAGTGGCACGTGACTTGGCTACCTAACCCACGGCAGGCAAGGCACCATCCAACCCTTCCGGATCGCTCAATCAAAACAGTTTCAAAGGGAGCTCTCTTTTTTGTTTTTTGGTCCACCTACTTCCCGTTTCATTCTTTTCTAGGGTAGGTTAAGTTACCGGTAGTCTACCGTAGGCGGTGTGTTGGATTGAACGAGCTTCGACAAACCGCCCACACAGAAGAAAATCAAGGGATCCGAAGGAAGGATGGCTTCATCAAGGTTATATCTACCCGCATCCCTATCCCTATTCATCACTCGCTTTCGATCGTCCATCTCCAAGCCTTCTTCTTCTTTCTTCTTCCTCCTCCTCCTCCTTACTTCACAGGCTAGCTAACGGGCTAGTAGTGACCGTTACGGCTCTCATCTCCACCAGCGCGACGCGCGAGCGCATCTCTTCGGCGATCCAAATGGCAGCGGCGCACCTCCCAGAGGGATGGCACAGTACCGACCCGCAACGCCCAACTCGAGGGGCCAGTACAGCGCTTCTGTGATGGAAGAGCTGGAGTCGCAAAACGACGCACAGGTTGAAGGGCTGAGTGCTAAGGTCAAGATGTTGAAGGAGGTATGTTTCACTTTCCTTCCATCTCCCGTGATGGAAGGGGGATGTGGGGAAGATGCTAATATGGGGTGTGGGGGGTGTGTGTGGGGGGAGAATAGATTACCGAGGCTATTGGCGACGAAGTCAGATCTTCTTCTACGCTTATGTCGAGCATGAATGACTCTTTTGATAATACGCGGATACGACTTAGAGGGACGATGAATAGTATGCTGCGCATGGCGAAGAGGGCTGGGGTGGGTTGGAAGGCTTGGGCGCTGTTCTTGGTGGCAGTTGTGGGGCTTTTCTGGTACGTTTGGTTGTTTTAGAGTGGGTTTTGGCTGGTTGGGGAATTGTGGGTTGTATGATATGTTTGGGTTCTGGTTTATATTACGGGTCGCTTTTGAGGTGCAATTGGGTGGGGAGGGGGAATGGTCAAAAGGGGTATCTCTCTCTTTGGGCTGGGCGACGGCAATTATTTTATTCACCAGTCTTAGCAGAAAGTAGGATATAATACATAGAGTAGAGAGTGCTTTGGAAACAAAACGCAAAAAGAGAAAAGGGCTGCATGTACCATTTTGGGAGTTCGTCGGGCCGCTGTGGATCGATTCATACGAGGGCGGATTTGCATGTAAAGTTGCAGGAAACGATAATCGATTGTGCGGTCTATGCATCGTACAGAATCTAAGTCATAATCACGACTGCAGCATCCACCTTCAATTACATCGTTAGATACAAATGTTAAGGAATACTGGGAAATGAGACTTGAGAGGATTAGGCATAGAGGTCAAAGTAGATCAATTGAGAGAACATAGGGATGAAAACAACGAAACCGCTATCCCATTAGAGAGAAAAAGAAATAAGAAATCCCAACAACCCCGAGTGTAAGTAAAAGTTAGTTTCCCGTGAATTCATGTTTCGTCGCGACTTTATCTTGATCCGGCTCAATCTAAGCCCCGGGCTCAATGAAAACTCATCCAAATCAGGTGTTTGCAGTGTACGTACAGAGAAGTGGAAAGAACAGAACGTAAATTTCAAGTTTCGACCCGCCACTCACTCGGCATTGTACCACCCTTACCTTCAAATCCCTCCACTTGGCTGAAAAAACGGTGCAAAGAAAGCTGTAACGACTCAGCAGCACTTGCCTTCCTTGGTAGCATTTTCGGCGGTGGGAGTGATATGAAGGGGTTGACTGCTTCCAGGTTGGCTGACTGGATGCTGGTCGCCTCCATCCAGAGCTTTGCTAGAAACGATTCGGTAGATTTCTGATAGGGCACCCTTAGATTCCGCTTTTGCTACTCTACAAGTAAGAGTTGTGTGACACGCACCTGTTAAGATTGTCTGAAAAGCGAGCTCAACATTTGTAGAATCTAGGGCGGACGTCTCAATGAAAGAGAGGTGATTCTCGGCTAGGGAATACGTTAGAATAATCCCGATATCATTCCGTGTCATTTAAGGCGATCACGAGACCAACCCGCAAAATTCTTTGCATCCTCTGTCGGAACAGCTCTCAAGTGCCTCAAATCACTCTTGTTGCCAACAAGCATGATCACAATATTGTTGTCAGCGTGGTCCCTGAGTTCTTTGAGCCAACGAGTAACGTTATCATAGGTGATTTGCTTTGAGATATCGTAGACCAGTAGAGCCCCGACAGCTCCGCGATAATAGGCGGAGGTGATGGCACGATAACGTTCCTGGCCGGCAGTATCCCAAATCTGGGCTTTGATGGTCTTAGTATCGACCTGGATAGAGCGAGTGGCAAACTCCACGCCGATAGTAGACTTAGAGTCCAAGTTAAATTCGTTACGAGTGAAACGACTGAGGAGATTGGACTTTCCGACACCAGAGTCTCCAATAAGGACAACTATATCGGAAAACGTTAATACATCATCCCGAATGACAGGGCAATAAATGCGATAGCTGCACTAGCATGGTCAGGGGATCTAGATGATGTGCGATGGTGGTCGCAGGTGGGGTATCATCATGAGGCTCTTAGGGGATGGAGCGTTATTTTCTTCTTATAGGGTTTGTACCTTTGAATAGAAACTAGGGAATAGCGGAATTTTGTAAGCTTTTCGGGACCAAGGAGAAGGATAAGAGAAGAGGACGGTAAAACTCACATCGTACTCGTCGTTTGCCATGGTGGGGTGGTTGTGGAAAACAAGTGTATTCCTGATGAAAAGGAGATGATAGATACCGGGAGGGATCGCTGAGGGTAAGGAGCTGGTGGAAGGGACAGTTGAGGATGAGGGGGCAAACGGGGAGTGAGGTATTGCAAGTAGGTAGTGGAGTTGATGGGGGGGGGGGTTTTGGGGACAAAAGGGAGTAAGATGATAGCAAGACACAAGGTTTCCAAGGGTTGTTTCTAGGGTTGGTGGGATCGTGAGTAGCGGAACGTGATTCCTACTGTGTGAGGTTTTGCTCCTTGGGTTGGTTGAACGCAGGTAAGGCACTGTCGCCGAGCGGTGGAGGGCCAGCCGGCGAACGCCTTCCCTTTCTAAATTGGGCGTCCTAACTAAGGGGCAGACTGGATGACTAAGCGTGACCTGATGGAAGGCCAGTTAGGAGTATCTTGGCTCACTGCAAGCCTTGGACTATCAAAATCAGAACAGCCATGAACTACCGGGACAACTCCTCACTCCAGGCTCTTAATCGAGGAGATTGAGAAATGATCGGGAAACAATTGAATACTAGCAACCTTACGCTGGTGGCGGCATGCGAGAGCGGTGGAAATCCAATAATTCAAGCGGTTGGAAATGGCGGGGGAGTAGAAGTAGGAAGGATATTGAATGAATGTGTCTCATCGACCCTCTCCGCTATTTTCCTCATGATTGAAATCTCAACACCACGAGAAATTATTGTAAACTCCACCCCCCTTTTCACCCCCACTTCGGGGGCTCCCTCGCCTACCACTTCCCCTTGACTTACTTTTTGAGGTATTTTGGGCATCTTCCCAGGCCCCTCAGGCTTCCACTATCCCTCTCTTCTCTCCCTTCTGGCTTCCTTTGCTTCTTGCTAAGGTTGTTCATGGGTGCATGTGTTCCTGATCCTTGCTTCAGATGGTTGGGATTATAGTTCATAGTATGAAGGAACACCTAACAGGCCTGTAGTTGATCCTTTCCCCCTCCTGCCTGGTGGCTGCCTAGTTAGATATGAATATAGTTACCAATAGTTGCACTCTCAATTGTGGGCTGTGTTCACTCCTCTCATCCTCCTTCCTGTCAGTCAGCTTGTACCCTACTGCACATCCACCTCCTTCTGATTGTTTATTCACAACTACTCCTACCAGCTGGCACCATACTGCCCCCTCCACCCAGGTTAGATTTGTGGTATCTGGGCATTTTATACTTTTCTTGCTTGACAATCTGTAGGTTGATGTAGCCACTGGCCCAGGAGTTCGTTTTTCCAACTTTGATAGTCAAGCTTTAGTTGCGTGTATTTTTTGTAGTTACTTGCATGCCAGGGATAGGGTCGGCTACTAGGATAGTTTTGGTAATTTCTTTTGTTTTAGTTTTGATTTACAGGTTTATTTTTATGCTATAGTCTTAGTTACTGCAAGTGAGTTCTTGTATCCTAAAAATAAGAATATATGATTTAATTAAAAAATTAGGAATTGAATGAATGTGTTTTAGCACAAGCTAACAAGGGGTTTGAAATAGTTCTAGGTCACTCAGGGACTAATCTGGCACGATAGAGTAGAGTACTGTAACGAATTGATAGGGCGATTTATGTGCCATCCTGATATGAAATCCGTGATTTAGTAGGCCATTTGTAAATAACTGATGCAGATATGTGAACCATTCCAATGTCAGTTTTTAGATAGCCAACTAATTATATAAAATCTCAAGAGGAACTAGAGAACGTAGTGGGAGATTATAGAAGCTGACTTTTGTGTTGGTACAATATTGTTTAGACTCATTTAAGAGGATTTTGTATAATATGTGATGGATAGAATCCCATATGGAATAGATGGGGCTACAGTGCCGCAGGTATGTTGTGTCCGGTACATTGTTGGAGTACCATACATCATTGGGGCATGACAGATATGGGGCACCATGGATGCCATTAGGGCATGTTGAGTGTGACTAGTATTTATTGTTTTCCTGTTTGTATGTATCACATGCGCTACCTACAAGTATATGAAGCTGAGAGCTTCCCGATAACATAGCATAGTCAATACACATTTTCTATCAATAAGCTTTGTTTCATTGCTGACACCGCGCTAATTCTACAGCACCGCATCCTATACAGAGGAAAGTTGCTATCAGGTTATGAGTCCGTACTTTGCGTTAAGCCAGAACTAGCAGCATTGAACAGCCTTCATGCCATACAGTCTACATTACCAAGTCTAAGATGAGTGAACACAACGGTACGCTATCACAAGTGGGACTCAGCTTTCCAAAGCTGGACGGAACTAATCATCGTATCTGGAGTATGCAGATGACCGACCTTCTCTAGCGAGAGGGGCTCTGGGATCTGATGATGGGTGAGGAAGAAGTACTGGAGCGGCCAGCGAGTGATGCTGACAATTATGAGAAGATGCTTGACCGCTACCAAGTACAGCGAAGGAGGATCCAAAAAGTGGTTGGGACTCTTCGTTTGGGTATGACGGATGCAATTGCTGTCATGTACTATAGCTCGATTTGGACAACACCCACGAAGATCTGGGAAAGCCTTAATGAGAGTTATGAAACCACGATTGATTACGATGCCAACCACCTGCAGAAGGAGCTGTACCAATGCAGCCTGGAGGAGTCTGGAACAGTCCTGAACTACTTCAACAAGATTCGTGAGCTTTGTGATAAGCTTGTAATCTGCGGACAGACACCATTGCATGGACAATTAATATTCCACATTTTTGAAGGGCTACCAAAAACACCAGAGTGGAAGACCTGGATCATGGTCACAAAAGGTGCACTACTATCGCTTGCGACCATGACAGGATATACCAGACTGAAGGCTATGCTCGTGGCATACAAGGTCGAGTTGCGCCGAGATAAGGCACTCGTGTCAGGACAAGTACTCTTTACGAAGTTTGCAGTGAAGTCCAAGGACAGATACCAGAAGCCAACTGGACCGCAAAAGAATAGCACTGAGAAGGTATGGCAAAGGCCTGAGAAGAGAAAGTTTACTGGAAACTGTCACCATTGCGGAAAGCAAGGTTACAAGGTCCGTGAGTGTCGGACCAAGGTACAAGAGGGGTCATGGGGGAGAGCTCCATCGATGATGTATCAGACTGGCAGGGCTGGTATGATGACAGACCAGACCTGGCTGGCGACTGAAGGCCCTCGATGTGGAAGAGAGAATGAGAGGACTATTGACAAGGTTCTCATGAGTGAACAGGAGATCCACGAGCATGATTGGATGATTGACTCAGGATGTACGAACCATATGACAAAGTATGGAGGGTGTAACAAGGGCTGGTACTCGGTTAGTAGTTTGTTTTATGTTTTGTTTTAAGTATCGGTTGATACTTAGTTTGTTTTATGTTTTGTTTTAAGTATCGGTTGATACTTAGTTTGTTTTATGTTTTGTTTTGAGTATTGGTTGATACTTAGTTTGTTTTACGTTTTGTTTTAAGTCTCAGTTGATACTTAGTTAGTTTTATGTTTTGTTTTAAGTATTGGTTGATACTTGGTTAGTTTTACGGATTGATTGAGTAAGAACATGAGTGAGAATTCATGATCGGACTCAAACATATGTACTTAAAAGACCGCTGTTTTCCACTAAGGAAAAGGGCAGACTTCAACAGATAGTATTCTAATATACTCGGTTGAACGGTTAATCTTTATTTTCCTATTTCACCATTGAAGCCTCCCTTAGTGAGCCTAGGAACCATCCATCTCGGGTAGATTACCAATTTGCTCCTATTGTACCCAGTGACGTGACTAGTGCCCTGGCGTGAACATATTACACGAGCCAGAGAATGAGCTATGCCATCAATAGGGAGGTGGGATCGTACAGTGGGAGAGGGCCTGGGGGTATTCCAGAGGAGGGGGTTGGCGTTGCCCTTCAGTCCGATGGACAGGGTCCGGTTGGAGTCCGGGGCCCTTGTTGCTGATGCAGAGGGAAAGGACAAGGGGAGACTGGCTGAGGCCGGGTTTACCTTGGGAGGTGAGCAGACCATCCTCAAGGCCGCTATTCCGCGCTTGTGGGGAAGAAGTACTACCAGAGGGGGGAGGCTGGCCTTGCAAGGGAGGATCAAGATAGTGGTAGAATAGAAACAGTTGGTCACCCAGCAGAGGACAGGGTTCCAGAAGACCTCTATCTTGTGGAGTGCAGAAGCATTGGGTACCAGGAGATCGGCCCCGTAGGAGAGGATAGGAAGGATGAGTCCCACAGCAAGCCTCCTATTGAGATAAGGAGGCAAGCCTTTGCCAGGGGGAGAGAGTTGACTTACCATAGCAAAAGCCTCCTGGGCAAGCGCCAATCGTTTTGCAAAGTGAGGAGAGGTTTTCAGGCTAGGAGCCAACCAGTAGCCAAGCCAGCGAACTTGTAATGGGGGCTCCCTCAGGTAGATGGTTCCTAAGGATGCAACCGCATCAAACTTCAAATCTCTCGAACACAGCTCTTGCAAAAGTGTAAAGAATAAAAGTAAACGGTAAAATTTAATATCGTTAAGCTCAGGCTTATCTCAATTAAAGTCTCTCGAGAGGATGTTGATTCTGTCGGGGTAGGAGAGTTCTCGTATAATCTTTAAGTAGTCAGACTTATACCAAAAACTCCCCCATCAGGTTACTCCGACCATTATAAGTATGCCCCTTCTCCGTAAGGGTTGTCCTGGCACCATTACCGTGTCCCCGAAAGGGCTAAGGTGTCAGCGCAGTCTAGCAGAATTCTCCTATATGCACATCAGTTCCTGCGAGGTGTTTACCAATACACCTGCTGGAGTAAAAACCTCTGCGTATTGGTGTCGCGTCAGTGGCTAACTGTCGAGACCCCTAGGAAAGCTAACTAAATGACTGTCTTCCCATGTGCTATGACCTATGCAAGCTCCCGTAGACATCAGCTGTCTCCCGGCTAAGCTCTATCATTCTTGAATACGAACTTAGAGGATCTACGGCGCTCCCACATCGAGCTGTGTCAGTGGCGGGACCCGTGGGCGCTACCCATGGTCCCTTACCCCCGGCACACCACTCAG